AGGGGCTGGAGGCGAGCAGGGAGGAGGCCGCTGGCGGGGAGGAGTGCAGCTGGGCCGGGCTCTTCTCCTTCCAGGACCTGCGGGCCGTGCACCAGCAGCTGTGCTCGGTGAGCTCGGACCTGGAGCCCTGCCTGCCCGCCTTCCCCGAGGAGCCGGCAGGCATGTGGTCCGTGCTGTTCGGGCCGCCCGCTCTGTGCGAGCCCGAGATGGACGTGCTGTGCTGCCAGCTGCAGATATACCTGGGCCATGGCCTGGACACGTGCGGCTGGAAGATCCTCTCCCAGGTGCTCTTCACCGAGGCCGACGACCCCGAGGAGTACTACGAGAGCCTGAGCGAGCTGCGGCAGAAGGGCTACGAGGAGGTGCTGCAGCGGGCCCGCAAGCACATCCAGGAGGTGAGGCCCTGCCCTGCTCTGTCCAGCCCCTTCCTCCCCTCGGCCTTGGCCAGTCCCTGGCCCCCCAGGTGGCCCTCGGGCCTCTGCACCTTCATGGTCCAGCCTCACGGCTCCTCCTGTCACTCGCCTTCTCAAGGGCCTCGCGGCCCCGTCCGCACAAGCAGAGAAGGCGGCGAAGCCATGCGTGCATCTGTCTGTCCTTTTTTAAAGACTGGGGCAGGACAGAGTAGGACGGCTCTTTGACATGTGTGCGCTGAGGTCTGATGCCTCAGAGGTGGGATAGGACCAGACCCTTCTTTTGTCCTGTTACAAGGTGAAACATTTAGAGATGGAAAGGGGGGGGCGGGGGGAATGGGCTTGGCATGTGCGTGTTTTTTGGTTTTTTTAAGGTCTCGTGTGTGCCCTGATGTGCATGAGACTAAAGCTTTCCTAGTGAATTAGGTTTGGATCAACTACTTTTCGGTTCTGTTGTTGCAGGAGGCTTCGGCAGTTTCCAGGCAAAAATCTGCTGGAGCTGTCGAGATCCAAGTGCCAGATTTTTATTTCGGGTTGCTCTGGCACTGGGATGTGTTGGAGTCTATTTTTCTGTTAAGTTGTAATGGCAGCATATGTTGTTTATTTTTACAGTACAGTTGTAGGATCCACCAGGCTCTGGGTGCTGGATGCTTGTCTTTGCCATGCTGTCTGGAGTTTGCACTGAGATTGGAGTCATTGTCCCCCTCTTCAGCTCATATAATTCTCATAGTTGGGAATTAAAATATGGCAAGACATCTGGCTCTTGAAGTAGTAACTAATATTTTGATGTTCTGACAGTCTGTGACATGACCTGAATTTTCTTTAATGGCATGCTTACACTTGTACAGTTTGGGGCCAGAAGCTGCCAGGATCCATTTGGCTTTGGGTTTTTGGTGCGACTGCACATTAAGGTCTGGAATTTTTTTGGTGCAGTAGGAGAGCAGGCACTCTCTTATTCAGCTGGTAACGTTTGGCTGGATCCTGCAACAGCCTTGCGCCAGATCTGAATTTTTATGGTGTACATGCTCAAGGATGTGTTGTAGTTAATGTTTTATTTACTGTGGTAGAATTTATAGTTGCTAAACTTATCTGTGGGTCCATAAATCACCAGGATCCAGGTAATGAAGTAACAGTGAATGAAGTAATAGAGGACCACAGAATTGATGCAATATGTTTTTATTTGGTGAGTCATGATAATGGCATCACAATGGAGCACTGTCAGTGGCGTTAGCAGTGCAACCTCAGAATTTATTGTTGTGATTTTTTTATTTATTTTTTAATGGTGTTCTTAATGGACTGAAGTCATCCATAGTGTTAATTAGTGGCTTTTTGGAGGATATGCCATTCCGGAGTTAGCTTCAAGTCTGTTCTTGCTTTCCTTTCTCGAGGAATCTAGATTTTTTTTTTTTTTTTTTTTTTTTTTTTATTAGTCACTAGCTCTACATTCCCTTTGTAAGGAACTGTGCAGCACAGAGGTAGCTTCTGTCTGACCCATGGTCACTGACAGCTCCTTGTCAGGCTCAAATTGCATGCAGTTTGAAAACACTGCTGTCCGACCTAGTGTTGTCTGAATCCTCTATGTACGCTTAAACTGTACTAAATTGTGAGCAGGAAAGGCGCTTAAGAGGAAGCAAATGAAGACAGAGACAGTTTTGAAGTATGCATACAGATATAGTATCTTGCTTCTTGATGAGTGGGAATAGCTGGATGCAATCAAAATGGCAGGGCATGTGATTTTGACTACAACACAACCTTTTGTCCCCATGGTAACCAAACTATTGGTGAATCTACAGTCAGCACAGCTGTAGTTCTGTCAGTGCCTATTGTGTATATCAGTCCATCTTTAATTAAAAAGGACTTCATGTTTAAGAAAAGAGACCAGTTGGGTGACCTGCTTCCCTTTTGGCTCTCAGGTTTCTGCTTTCTACCTGTTGAAGCAGTTTACTTGGTTGGTGTAATGGCTTCCTTTTAAATAAATAGTTCATGTTGTTTGGCTTGGTAATTCTAAGAAAACAGAGGAACAAATTATGGCTATTTAATAGTATATTAATTCTTGGACTAATTCTCAAGTTAAAGGTTTTATATACTTTAGGGAGGGGGCTTGGCTCTCCCCTCTGAAATGTAAAACTACTGAGCTCACATTTCATCTCTCCTTTCAATCTGCTTTTGCCATCTATACTTAATCTACTTGTCATTGGATGTTAATACTGGATTGTGACAGTTTTTGTAAGGCTGTACCTTTTGTTAGAAGTTTGACAGAGAATGCTTCAGGGCTTGTAGGGAAGAGTACTCTGAAACCTGGTAAATGGAGATGGTTTTCATTATTATAAAATAATGCAGAAAATGTGTGAAGATCAAACTTTTCAACTATACTTAACACACTAAACATTTTTTTTTAAATCTTATTTCTTAGTAAATCTAAGACAGAAATTTACTGTGTGACTTAAAAAGCACTTTCTAAAACAGCGGTGTTCCCGAGTAATTTCTTTGTTAGTTTGGGGTGGGGTAAAGGGAAGCAGAAGGAGCAGGAAAAACCCTTTGCATTCATTGTTTTAGTATCCTGTACTCTGCCATCTGTTGCTTTTCATAATGATGCACAATCCAGTTTATATTTACAGTAATTAATAATTGTTGCTGTTTGTACCAGGCATTTTTGTATCTGAATAGTAAACCTTTAATAAACAAAAAGCATTTTTCTTGATTTGCAGGGGCATTAGTACGTGACAAACTTCTGAACCGAGGAAGAAGAAAATAGCTATAGAGGAAGCTTATAATGTGGAATTCATTTTATGTTTATAACTTAGCACATCATGCATTTTTAAATGTAATTGCTAAGTCTAGAAATGAGTGAGAATAGCACTTCTGTGTTAGGCAAACACTTAGGTGTAAAACATGATGAATATCACATGTAACAAGGCAGATGGAAGGCATTACAACCTCATTTTGGAGGCGCATACTCTTAAGATGAAAGCCATGCCAAGTACTTAAATAGACTTTTAAAGACTTCAGTATGACTCTTCATCCTTCTCTCTAGAGTACTCATGCTATTAAAATACAGGCTTTTTCTCTCCCAGTTAAATCAAAAGTGGTCACTCAACTGGGACCCTAGGTCTATATTACTATCCAGTGGTATAGATCTTTGTACCCATGTGGAAACCAGTTGATGAACCAGTCTTAATGCATGATGAATTCTCTGTCTCCTGAGCACTGAATAATCCTACCGAAGGGAATACATGTGGTTGAAGCACCACGCATGTGAGTCCTTACAAATATGTACCATGTTCTGCAGTATATGCATTCTAAATCAGATAATTTCCATCGTCTCTCATCAGAACAAAAATAAATATATAAAAGCAAGTGATTTTACTTTAGATTAAGCCATATCAGTAAGGACTTATGTAGATACTTTATTCATCCTGATCACAGTAGTCTGAGCCAAGGCTTGAAAAACTCTCTAACAGTTGAATGGAAGGCTAACTTTGCGGTGAGGAGAATGTGGTTAAAGGTGTGAAGAGCCAACTACAGACACAGTGATGGATGCTGGGATTTCTACCTGAATGCGTTGACTGGGGCTTCGTTCTCTGATTCCTGATTTATAAGTCTGAAGAACTGAAGCTCTGCACAAGGAACAAGATATCTGATACTTTTTTCCCCTTCCCTCCTTCCCAGGTACCTGAAGGAAGGGAGGGCTTTTCCTAGATCTAGTCTACACTAGCAGCTTCTGTCAGCATAGTAACATTGATTTATGAGTGGTGATTACTTTTTTGACATTTTGATAGTGGCTAAAGCCTTGGTATTGACCCAGTTATACTGGGAGCGGAGTGAAGACATAGTTTTGCTCTTACAAATATTGCCTACACGAAAGGGGCTATGCTAGCAAACCTCTTCTGTTTGAGGCTGGGCCCCGCTTTACCCTCTCTGACATACCCGGTTATGAGGTTAAGAATCTTGGTGTGGGGGTGCTTTGTTCAGTGCCTTCTGCAGCTTCTCTTTGATGACATTCCGCAGGGAAGATCTCTTGTACCTGTTTCTGCTGTTGGTTTTTCTTTTAAACTACAGCAGCATGACATTGCCATTCAGTACCTTAGCCACAGCACAACTGTCAGAGGGTAAGTTTGTAAAACTACTTGGAGATTTGTTAATTTCATCATGCATGGTGTAGCTTTCTCAGTTGTCTTGTTGTAGTCTATTGGGGCTGGTTAATATATATTTATATATA